TTTTTTGTACAGTGTTTTAGTATATGATCAGGGCTTGAAAAACGCACTCACCCACTTGTCTGCAACGAGTGAAAAATGCTGCTGGACGAGTCACAGCTCCCTCCCTCCCTGCTTCCCCTCCAACTATCTCTCTAATCCTGCAGTGCTCCCCTCCCCCTTCCCATTGCAAAAGGAAAACTCCCTCTTCTAGCAAGAAGAGAGTTTGAGCGGCACATAGAGATATAGCTCTGCAGGAGAATGTAGAGTAGTCCCATGCTGTGCTGAGGGGTTATGTCAAGTTGTGTTTTTTTTTGTAAGTTGCACAGGAAAGGTAGGGGGCTTAGCTTGTGCTGGGGGGGGGTTATGCCACTTGTTTGTCCAGGGCAGTTTTGGCCAGTGGTGGGAAGGTATATGGGAAGCAGATATAAAGCACAGCCTTTTGTTTTTGTGAATGTAGCAGCTGCTGACATGGGTCCCAAGAAGCCTGCTTCTGCAGAGGCCGGGAAGGTGACAAAGGAGAAGATTACACTTGAGATGAAGGAGATCACCAGGAAGCACGACGGAGGCATTTGAGTGATAGACATCGCCAGGGAGTACCAGAGGAATCCCTCCACCATCGGTACCATCCTTAAGATGAGGGAGAAGATCCTTGCCACAGATGTAGCCAAGGGAGTCACCAGGATCATGAGGAACCAGCCAGCTGTTCTGGAGGAGGTGGAAAAGTTGCTGCTCATCTGGATGCAAGAGAAGCAGCGTTCAGGGGACACAGTGACTGAGGCTGTCATTTGCGAGAAGGCCAAGGCCTTCTAACACAGACCTCGTGCAGCAAGAGGCAGGAATCTCAGTTGAGCCAGAAGAATTCAAGGCAAGCAGAGGCTGGTTTGAAAGATTCAAAACCAGATCTGGAATCCACAGTGTGGTCAGGCATGGAGAGGCTGCCAGTTCCGATGTTCCTGCAGCTGAGGACTTTGCCACAGAATTCCTGGAGGTCGTGACACACAGGGCTACCTTCCACAGCAGGTCTTCAACTGTGATGAGACCGTGCTGTTTTGGAAGAGGATGCCCAAAAGGACCTTCCTCACTCAAGAGGAGAGCAAGCTGCCTGGCCACAAGCCCATGAAGGACTGTCTGACCCTCCTCTTCTGTGCCAACGCCAGCGACAACCTGAAGATAAAGCCCTTGCTAGTGTACCATTCAGAGAACCCACGGGCTTTCAAGAAGCACAAGGTGAACAAAGGCCAGCTGGGGGTGTTGTGGCAATCCAACACTAGGGCTTGGGTCACACGCGTCCTATTTGTGGACTGGGTCAATCTTGCTTTTGGCCCTGCTGTCAAGCAGTACCTGCCGCTGAAGGCCCTGCTCCTCATGGACAATGCTCCTGCTCATCCTCCAGGCCTTGAGGAAGACTTGTTGGAGGAGTTCAAGTTCATTAAAATCATGTTCCTGCCGCCTAACACCACCCCGGTACTCCAGCCAATGGATCGGCAGGTGATTGCCCATTTCAAGAAAAAGTACACCAAGGAACTTTTCAGGCGCTGCTTCGAGGTGACCGATTCCACCAACCTCACCCTGTGTGATTTCTGGAGGGACCACTTTGATATTGTCACCTGTCTGAAGTTGAACGGGATCAGCCGGAGAAATCTTAACTCTGCTTGGCGCAACCTGTGGCCAGACTGTATGGCAACAAGTGACTCTGGTGTTTCTGTGCCTGCACCAGAGTCAACAGTGATGGAGGACATTGTTGCCATGGGCCTTGAGGTCACAAAGGAGGACCAGGACCAGGAGCTATCCACCCAGGAGCTGGTCAAGCTGCAGGCTGAGGCTATGGAGGAGCAGGCCTCTTTGGAAAAGGAAGAAGAGCCAGGCGAGGAACAGCTGTCCACCACTAAACTGAAGGAGCTCTTAGAACAGTGGCACAATGTGCAGACTCTAGCACAGCGGTACCACCTGGACAAGGTGTTGCACAAGACCTTTCAAACACATATGATGCAAGGGTCATATCCCTTTTCAGAGGGATGCTCAAAAGGCGGCAGAAGCAGCTGACTATGGAGAGGTTCCTCACGAAGAAGCCGAGACAGGAAGAGGAACCTGCTGCTTCTCCCAGCGGGGCCCAGTTGCCTTCCTCCTCCTCCTCCTCCTAGAAGACTGCTGCTGTGATGTGAGGACAGTTCTGTCTGCCTCCAGTTTCCTGAATTAAAACACTGGTCCTGGTGGTTTAGAGACTTCAGCCTCACTTGTTCACTTTAAAATGTGAAATGTAAAAAGTTTATGTACTGTTGGTTTCTGTATGTTTATGCATTTTCTGAAGAGTTTTGCACAATCCAATGACTGTTAATGACTGTTTCTGTTCAGTTTCAGTGAAGGCAGATGTTCCTGCCTCATGTTTGCTGATTTTTAAATGTTTTTCTATGATGGTTGTTGTGGGTTTTTGGGGCTCTTTGGCCATGTTCTGAAGGTTGTTCTTCCTAACGTTTCACCAGTCTCTGTGGCCGGCATCTTCAGAGGACAGCACTCTGGATGAAGTTCCATTATTTTCTTTCTTGGGCAGTAACAAAGAGATGTTACTGGCCTACAGGAGCACAGTTATATTGTATATATAATCCTTTTAAAAAGCGTATTATTTTATGACCAGTAAATAAAAATAATACATCGCTTCTCCATTTTAAAAATTGTGTCAGGAAACCAGTTATTCTAAGGAAGTGTGTCAGAGAGAAAGGCAAAAAATTCTTTTTTTAATCTTCTGCTGAGATAGAACACACAGCTGGAGTCCAGAAGGAACTTTCCTAGAGACTAATTTGTTCACAACCAAAATGGGAGAAATAAGAATAAAATGTTATATTTTCACATGACTACAGCAATTGTTGTGACCACATATTGCCGTGGTGCCTTGACTTATGAACTTAATCCATACTGGAATGGTGTTCTTAAATTGAAATGCTCATGGCATAGGAGCCTCGTGGCGCAGCGGTTAAACCGCTGTACTGCAGCTAAAACTGTGCTCACAACCTGGGGTTCAAATCCCAGGTAGCCGGCTCAAGGTTGACTCAGCCTTCTATCCTTCCAAGGTCGGTAAAATGAGTACCCAGCTCGCTGGGGGGGCAATGTGTAGCCTGCATAATTAAATTGTAAACCGCCCAGAGAGTGCTTGAAGCGCTATGGGGGGGTATATAAGCAGCACGCTTTGCTTTTTCGCTTTATTAGTTGAAGCAACATTTCCCACTGAAATGCATGGCAACAGGATTAACCCTTTCCAGCATTTCAAAAAAACACCAAAATATAGATATAAAGCACTCAGAAAGCCCCATCGGAAGGCGCTGGAGCTTAAAAAATAAGACACAACTAAAACTAAACAGAGCAAGCCCTGAAGGCTGCCAAAAAACAAAAACAAATAAACAAAAATCCAACCAAAACCCAAAATTAACCATCAAGCAATCCCCACGCTGGGACTGCAAAAAACAACACAGCACAGAAACATAACCCCCCTCAGCCAAAACCCACCCTGCGAAACCCACCCAGAAGTTTCTAAACAGGAAAAAGCATCACCTTACCAGGCAGACCAAAGCCTCCTTCAATGGCACTCACTCCCTGGCAGGAAGCCGCCTCTTGTGTCGCTGCCGCTCGCCCTGTCCATGGAGGAGCCCTTCCGATCCGCGCCCCTCAGCCCAGCACCTTTGGCCGCCCTTTCTCATGAGTAGACCCGCACCAGGGATGGGCAGGGAGTGCACCGGCTTCCTGCACCCTGCGGTGATCCGGAGCCGCCCCTGCCTCTCCTTCCTCCTCCTGTGCCAC